GTGATTATGCATGACACGAAGTATTTGCTAGTCTAGTACTGGAGAAATTAGCGTTTGGATGCACATTGTGAGCCTTTAAACAAATTTCACAATTTTGTACGGAACAAATATCGAACAATGAATTATAACTTGTTCTATCATAGAGAAGAACTGTTAATGAAAACTGCAATTGCTTGGCTATGTCCCGGATGTGTAAACACTGTGTAAACATTCGAAAGTACTAGTTTCGTAAGACTGTTTAGGTTTGCTGAAGAAATCTTATGAACGTAGCAATACAAATGAGTTGTAGTTAATTTTTGCAACATCTAGACGAGCTCATAAGAGGTATATCTATGCATTTTGCTGCGAGAACATGCCGTTTTAATACACTAACAGTAACAATAAAAATAGTAATGGTTTAATAGTATGCATGATAATAATAGTAAATATTAGCAAAAGCCTGGCGCACATGTTACAGTTTTTCTCATACAATTTTTTCCGATCCTTACCGGCAGGTGAATTTGGAGCGTGTGCGGTCTCATTATCCTGCGATTTTGCGAGCATACAAAACTGGTATGATATCTACCGATAAAAATCGCACGAATAAAATCGGACCGTAGTGTCTGCGGTGTTCAGCAGAAAAACCTGGTTATACTGGCCAATCAGCACCGAGCAAAATTCACATGATTGTCAAAATGGCACCGTCAGAGTTATTGAAATCCTATCATCTGGACTGATTGCATCTCTCATAACTGCACCTCTCGTTTTATAACAGGGGCCAACATCTGTACTAGCTTGTCAAAATTGGCACAGTTAAAATATGTGAACCTTCTAAAAGTTTCAGTGTCTTCCTCCCAAAGCTCTTGTATTATATTTTGTCCAAATGCGAACTGCTGCCTTTTCTGTATCCATGTTCGTGCTCATAACTCTCTGGCTCTTGCAGCATTACGTCGCCTTCGACGACATAAAATTAACAAAATAACAAGTAATGCTCTCCTTTTATTTATGGAGGCCGCCATTTTGAAAAGTCACATGATCGATCACGCAATATTTATCCAGATTTTAATCGGTAACCATTGCACAGTGTAGCGTGTGCGGGATACACGGATTATTTCCTGCAATAAAATCTGGCGACTAATACCATAGCATAGCTTGCGTGTGCGCCAGGCTTAACCGAGGTGAATGATTTTTAAAATAAGGCCGGTTGATAATAATAGCACAAATTATTTTATTTAGCCAATTTCTATCCTACATGTACATAATTTCTTCACACCCACTGTTCTTGGAAAAAGATTTTGGTCGTTATTCCTTGTTGACCAAAGTTGAAAAATGTTACCTCCTTCCGAAGCTACAACTCTGGTTGGATAATGGTTACCTTTAGCATATGACCAATTTGTAGCAAAGTGCAGTGAAATGTAATTCGTAAATAAAATAGTGAATAATCAGAAGATGCTACCCTGGTGTACCGTGCGAGGTGTCAAATAACCTATAAATGGCAAAGCAAAATGAATACTATAACATATACTTAGCATGATAAATGGTTTTTATGCTGCCCGTGAGTCATGATTTATCGTCTGCCATGACATGCGATTCCTTTTAGAGATTAACATAAGTGTGAAAACACTGTATTCATTTATATGGTGAATTTTGATATTACCCTTTTCAAGGCCTTTTCATATATTATTTAAGTGACTGTTAGCATTAGAAAATATGAATTTTGTGCCAGTTATTCATACAGGTATAGGCATGTAAAATATCACGCAACGCTGAAATAATTAAATTTCACTCATTTTTATCTTTGTCGGTATGATTTAGGGTGGAATGAAACTAAAAGCTAGTTCAGCCTCGTAAAGTACTCATGAAATGCACTTATGGTCATGATGCACTTATGCACTCATGCACTTATGCACAGGATGTCCATTACTGTGCAGGGTTCAGTATATATCAAGGGAGTGTCATGAAAACTGTCGTTGCTATAATTCTTACTTGTGTGTTTCTAAAGCTCTTGACCACAGTACAGGGCCGTAGCTAGCCGGTGGGAGTCACAGGGGCAGCTCCCCCCCCCCAGAAAAAAAAGAGACAAAAAATAGGCAAAAACACACACACTCCCAGAACACACTATGTACATGTATGGCTTCCCCCCTCCCCCAGGAAAAATGGGTTAGCTACGCTTCTGCAGTATATTTTGTAATCATATAGCTTTGTTCAGTGATGAGCCTAAAATACTATTCTGTAGTGGCACTCTCAGTATACCATTATATTACAAGTCTATCCTATTTAAAAACAATCAGAAACGTGGCGGGAAAAGTAAACATGCGGCGTTCGGCAGTCGCGTTTAAAAGTAATTGCAACGTTCAGCATTACATGTGCCTGCGTTTATTTCCTTGCCTCCGACTGGATGCCACTACGATTACAAATATGTATATTTTAAGATGTAATGAACAGAAGCTTTATGATATTGACATATATATATACTATATATAGAGTTGTTGTAAAGTACTAACGTGTAAATTACTCGTTGGCGTAAAGGGCATGTGAGATGGGATCAGTAAATGCGCGTGGGATAGGACTGCATTCGATAGCAATGATGAGTTGTGCATCGTTTGTGAAGTCCTACGTGACTGCTGGGTGTCCAGCAAACAGAAATTTTGAGCTAATGTTGCAGGCATGACAAAACAGGTACTCATCTATTTAAATGTTACATGACAGCAGAGTTTGATGATCACCTACTTTCTAATTTGTCACACTTGAGCCAACTTTGAACTCATTGCTTACTTGTAAATGCTCCTTTAATAGTGAAAAAGTCTTATCAGACCGTTATATGACTTGCCCTGGGCAATCAGGCAATGATGTGTTTCGAGCTTTGATATGACTGCCTATGTCTCTTCTAGGGTTGGGGTTCTATGTTCTTAGGTGTAGCATTGCATTTCATTTTATTTATGTTTTTAAAAATGAGGGTCTGAGCAACGATGCAACGTTTATGTAAGAAATCACACATAGCAACTACCTTACATGGCAATATTTTTGGAAAATTTTGAATAATTATATTAGGAATTACAAATAGGAACAACTTTTTCAAATTTTTCTGAGAAATTAAAAATGGATTTTAATGAGGTAAGAGTCGGTTTTGAACAATAGTTTTATATTGTGTTAAAGCAAAAACATGGTAATTTATGTAAATTTTATCAGTTATTTATTTAAGTGTATTACAACACAATAAAATCTAAGTGTTGCACAAGCAGTTCGAATTTGTGGGAGTGAGGGGAAATTAAGTAGCAGCAAATTCAAAAGGCAGTTTATGGTGTTCGTCCCATTAGTAAGTGTTTCTAATTCTAGGCAAAAAAGTTTTTAAATAAATGTAATCACAAGCAATTTTATTGTGATTTCCATGTATGTGTATTGGTAGTATATGTACACATATAGTGAACTTTCATATATATATATAAATAATTTTACAATAACTTTTTTCCACTGTAAATGTAAATATGAGATCCAACTTTCGAAATGCCAGATGAAACAGAGGTGCCGTAACTTTCTTATGCCCTACAGCTTGAGGACGCGTGTTGACATTGTGGTGTATCAGTATGAACTGTACCACTAGGCAATAGGTACACTGTCTGCGTTCATGCTCGTGCCCCTGATATGAAGGCCATATCCCGGGCGCTCGTGGTGTTGACTTACGTAACAACCATGCAAACATTGTGAATGGTATAATTTGCACATTATAATTTCATTGTCAGGAAGGTATTCATGGTCAAGTAAGTAAGGTTCATTGTACAGTTAAGGTTAGACAAAGTAATTTCAGGGGGGTTGTTATTAGCATTGCATCAACAATCGTTATCCACATTTACATTAGTCCATAAACCGATCAACTAATGAGCAGCTTACAAGCACGAACCTTCAAACATACTTTCAATGATGATGCCCCCCCCCAAATATCAAAATCCTCAATAAAAGGGGAATTTTGAGGGATAAACAACATGCGTTTGTAACCTAAGTTTTGTTTGTTAACATTGAATTTTAGTAATGTGTGAGACCACCTTTAATTCAACACTTGCTCCTAAATTAGCATTTCTATTCATTATCATACCTTTTCATGAGCATGTTGTATTTAATCACTTTGATCGGGTAATGCGATCCAAGCGATTTATTGTCTCGACTGCAAGTAGAATAAAGTGTACAGACTGCAAGCTCGTAATCTGTGTATAGATCTACTATCTACACATAGAAGGTGTGCCTGCTTTTACCAAAAAGCCAATCTTTCATTT